CTGAGAGTACTGGCTGCTGTTGCAGAGGACTGGGTTCAATTCCCAGCACCCACATGGCAGCTAACAGCCATCCTAACTTCAATTCCAGGGGATCTGATGCCCTCTTCTGACCTCTACAGACATTACATGACATAGGTACACTTAGGTACATGCAAATAATACACTCATACACATTAAAAAATAAAAAGAAATAAACAAAAGAGTTCAAGGCCAACCTGGGCTACGTAAGAGAGATTTAAAAAAAAAAAAAAAAAAGCCTGACAGAATACTTTCCCAAGTATCTTAATGCCTTCTAATGAATGAAGACTTATCTAGTAAGATTTATATATGGCAAATCATTAATTTCTTTGTTCCAATAGAATTTTATGCATTTTAGAATATAAATTTGTTTTCTTAATTACACTTTAAATTAGAACTACAATGGCAATTTTTCATTCTAACTGCCCTGTTTAGCTTAGCTAAAATACATATAGATACAAATTATTTAATTTAAAAAAGTACTAGCATCTGGCCTTCTTTTAAACTTTCATATACTTAATTCTGAATCTTCCTGGATTAGAAGATTTCAAAATTGGAGGCTTGTCTTCTCAACTAATTATTCTCAATTCCCCCCACCCCCTGCGTTCTTCCTCTCCCTTTCCCTCTCATTTTTCTTCCTCTCCCTTTCCTTTCAGTTTCTCTGGCAAGATAACATTTTCTTCCTATGTAACTCTGACTGGCCTGGCCTCAAATTCTTTGGGACCTCTTGCCTCAGCCTCCAGAGTGCTGGGATTACAGGTATATATGCCAGCACATCTGACTACTATAGTTCCCTTTGATTTACCTTGCTTTGTTTTGTTTCAGTGGTTGGCACTGAATACTATGGTTTTGTAATTACCAAAGATATCCTCAACCAGTATGCTGGGTCTTTGCTCAAAACTTGTTGCATATTCAGAACACTTAAGAGCTGCTTTGTTCTTAAAATAAAGTGCTCTGTAGCCCAGTTTTCTTAGGTTCAAATTAAACATTCTTAGTCTACCCACAGACAGGTTATTATATTACTTGATTGGATTCAGTCAATCTGTTTAGTGTTTATTTCCCCCATGACTCTCTTTTGTGTGCTTCCTGTCTGAAACATCAGGATTAAAATGGCATCTGTTCGAGTCTTCTTGTGGTGTTGTCTGACTCTGTGGATCCATTTTAATGTCATGCCACTTATATTTAATGTTAACCAAAAATGTAATGATTCTGGCTGGATAATTCATTTTTCTTATATGAAATTCTTTTTAAAAACTGTAATTGTCATGTGCCATACACATTCAAGAACATGAGTGTAGATAAACTGGATCTACTTATTGGAAAGTAGAACGATAGTAAAGTGCCAGTCACTTACTTATACCCTGAGATAGCAAATACTCTCTCTAAAAGGAACAATCAAAACAATAAACTTTTTAGTTTCCTCTTAACTGGCTCTTTCCCTCATCTGTTTGTTGACTTAAAAAGCTGTTGCAAAGCTACATTAAGTCCTCAGACCGAGGTAGTTTTTAAAAAATCTTAAAGCTTTTTTCTCATGAAGCTGTAAGCTGAATTAAACCTATATGTTATCTTAATGGTCCTGTTTTGAAAAGCGCAAATGTTCCTTCTGATTTTTGAGTCTTAAGTTCCAGCCACAGGCATAGAAACCTTATACTGAAAAGATAAAAACATACTATTTCACCAAAAAAGCCCCACATACTATTTCAAATAAAAGATAACAGATGATTAATATTCTGTAATTCAGAACTCTTTGAATCAAGCATCAGAATCATAATTAGTAATCTTTGTAGGTGGAAGTTAAGCACTGGAAAAGTTTTGTGTGCAAGAAGTTACTTAGGCTGTTTAGTTTTCTTAAAGGAGTAAATTAACTCTGTTTTAAAAACTAATTCCTTTAAAGGTATAAACAGGATCCAGAGAGATGACTCAGTGGTTAAGAGCACTGACTTCCCAGCACCCACATGGTGGCTAACAACCATTCTGTAACTCCAGTTCCAGGGATCTAGCGCCATCTTCTGACCTCCATAGGCATTGCATGACGGGTGCACTTACATACATGCAGGCAATGCACTCATACACATAAAATTATAATAATTTTTAAAATATAAACAAAAATTTATCTTAAGATTCAAATTTTAGTGAAATACGTGTGTGTATGTATGCACACACACACACACCAAATGCATTGCTTTTGCACTGGTATGCCTAAGGTAGAATTTTAAGTAATTTACTTTATATGCGATCATCTCTCTTTGAAAACTTATTTCTCAAAGGCAATTTCTTTCCCTTTCTATAAATGAAAACTCAGGTCTATTTTTCTTTCACTACTCTTTGATAGCAGTAATAATTACTTAAGTTAAAAGACACTGTTGAGGCCATAATTAAACGTGCCTTCTCAGCATATCAATCAACATTTCAATCTCTACTCATTTGAAGCTGCAGCTTTTCCCTTCCCTTGGTAGGTTGGCCTTGGATGGAGGCAGTGTGGGTAGCTTCTCTCAGCCCACTAGCAAGTTGCTGTATCTGTCCCCATCAGATTTAAGCTGAGAACAAAGACACCAAGAGAGGCAGGCAGTCTTTCCTGGACTCTTGTGGTAAAATGACTTCATTAACTTGTTTTGAACTGGATGAATGGTTAAGGCTGACTCTTTCTGGTTTTGGTGGGTTTTCCAGAATCTTTCACTGGAACCATACTGCCTGTGACAGGCCAGAAAAAAATGTTCCTCCAACTAGCCAGTCTCCTTAATCCTGTTGGTCCTCAGCCTGCTTTTCTCAGGCCTCCTTCAATAGTAGTAACTGTAATTCTTCCTCTTCATCCCCTCTTCCCCTTCTTCCCTTTCTCTTTCATTTCTCTTCTTGCTCCTGTCTCCTTTTTGGTGATTCTTTGGGTACTTCTGGTGGTACTTTGTGTAGACTCCCTCCTCCTTACTTTTAACCATCCTCCCAGTACTGAGCATCTAACCTATTTTTTAAAGAGATTTAAAAAATATAATTCATATGTCATGCATGTCACTCATCTAATGCGTTTTTTCAGTAGTTTTAGTATCTACACAGTCATGCAACTATCTACATTTGGGCACAGTTTCATCCTCTAGACTTGCCTCTTAACCCCTGCCCTCATGAAAGTGTAGCCAGCTCTGATATTTCATGCCCCCTCATTCATGAGTGACCTCAGGGTGATAGCTAATACCTTTAAATTCCTGATCTGTATATCAGGTACTGCTCAAACTCCACAGAACACATCAAGCGGATTCATTGAATCTCTTTCACTGTCTTGAGGTGAAATGAAGGCCCCTTCTCATACCCCTCCAGCTTTAGAGGAGACATGAAAACCAGCACACTCTTCAAAGAACCCTGCTGGTGCAATTCTTTCTTTATGCTTGATGCGTTGGCTTTGGAGCTATCTAACCAGTTCTCAGACATAACACTTTAGAAACTTGCTACAGGGTAGTTTTCTTACAAGTCATGTTGGTATCTTATGTCTAATAGTATCTTGATGCCTCTATTGAAACTTCAATTTATTAAAATGTTTCATGAGGAAGATTAACTCACACATCTCTTAGGAAAAAAATGCATCTCCTAGTATAATGATATGCTATCATTATAGTGAAGTACATGAAAACCTAGAAACATTTGCTATGGGGAGACATCTGAGTAAATGAATACGTTTCTTATGCAAGTGAAAGAAAAACTTTTTTGGCTTTCTCAAAGCAGCATCTTCTGTCTTCCCATTTAATTGCCACATTACACATATAGATAGACAAGTCAAAAAACAAGACCCACCCCCTTTAGCTAGGATTACTTTTGTTCTGACTAGATTAGTGATTATAAGTATAAATAATAAGAACATACTAGCTTTTCTTGTTGGTGAGCAAATAAAGACAACTGTCTAAATCAGATGTTTTATAGGCTTTTAAAATAATTTAACAAGGAGTTTAGTTAAGAAAATAGCTACAATGATTAACATTTGCAATTTCCTCTGGCTTTTCTAAATCCACTGGATTCTGTCTACCAACAGATAAATACTACATTCATATCAGGGGTAAACAAATCCCGTTGAAGCACAAATCTTAGGAGTTACTCACTGTAAAGGGTCAATTTCTTTTTGAGACATACCAGCTTCAGAGAATGTTTATGGGAGGATTTTGAGAGACTGCATTTTCCCCTTTCCAAATTAAAAAAGGATTAGTGAGCCCAATAGAAAACCTTATGTTTTATCAAAATAGCACTTAATTAAACATAGAAAAAAATTGTTGCTAGTAAAAGAATTGCCATAGAGAAAAATTTCTGATCTTTTGTTAATTCAGTTTCTGTATAGTCTTAGATTACAAAGTATATTCACAGAAATAACCTCTTTTATTATCATAGTAACCCTAAAAGGGCATTATTCTTATTCCCATATCACAGATGGGAAACAGGTGTAGAGGTAAAATGACATTCCTAGGAGCAAGTGCTGAGTTGGCAGCAGAATTGAGTCTAGGAATAGTTAACTCCATTCAGTACAAAATTTTCAGTTATAACATATATATTATACTTTGTCTTTTATTCCCAACTCCTCCTAATGATACCTATAGGGCCTCCTCCCTACTCTTCATATTGGAGATGGAAAGGGTGAAACTTGGAACTGAATTCTAAAAGGCCTTGGTCTGCTTTGGCTTCATCATCTGTATTTTGGTGACTTTCTGGCCCCCTGGGCTCTCTGTCTTTTCTCATGAAATAATCACCACTGCTATTCACAAGACCTGCTTTTGAGGTTAGCACTGTTAGGCAGACCAAGGAGTTGTTTCGAGGGGGGTTTCCTCCAATTCTTTTGCTCTTATGAATTTAAGCCTAAAGGATTAAAGTTAGATTGAAGTCTGGACTGAAAAATTAGGTAACTTGGACTTCATAGTTCACACAGATACAGAGTTTTACTGAAAAAAAAAAAAAAAAAAAACCCTGCAGTTAAGATGCTAGTACATAAACCTTCTGTTCCCTTTATTTACTAGGTAATATGCATGTGTCACTAGCAGAGGCCCTGGAGGTTCGGGGCGGACCACTTCAGGAGGAAGAAATATGGGCTGTATTGAACCAAAGTGCTGAAACTCTCCAAGAATTATTCAGAAAAGGTAAGGCATTCTTAAAATTAAACATTTTATTTTGCATATTGAGTAGCTGAAAAACACATAGCCAATTAACAAATTAGATTTTTGTTTTCTGGTTTAGGCAGAGTATGGAAAGAAATACCTCATCTTTCTATGTCTGAAAATCTCAACTTAGCTACCTTAATTTGAACATATCCCATGTGCCTCCTTGCTCTAGATATGAAATGTAATGGTTATCAAAATGAAAACATTGCTTATCTGTGGGGAGCTTATGCTCCAGTATAGAAAGTAGCTATAAAGAGAATGCTCATATGAGCAAATGTAACCAATTAATAAGGGCTATAAAGGAGGGGGATTCAGTGACTGTGTGAGAACACACAAGAGGGGTAATTTGGCTTATTGTGGGAAGGAAAAGAACGGCTTCCATGCATTAAATTACCCCCGAGCTAAGGCCTGAAAGTGAAGTAGGAGTTAACCAGGTGAGCGGGAGCAAATAAAACATTCCTGGCAGAGAGTGTGCATTCCTGTTGCTCTACATTAGGTAATGCAGACTGAATATGTAGTTTGGTGTTTTCCCTGTAGGTGGTCACTTGGTCCAAAAGGTTGTGTTGCATTTGGGAGTTGGAAATTAGTCAGGCTTTGGTTGTCCAAAGCTATTTGCTATTCTGTTGAAAAACTATGCATAGAGCTGGTGTTTGTCAGTCACGGCACAGGGGCACCCCTATTTAGACAGGGAGCTGAATAACCAAGCTTTGTCTAATGGAAGAATCAGTTTTTAAACTCGGTTGAATAAATAAACCAGACACAGTAAATCTGACAGAAATAGGTTGCATTGGAAGGAGAGATATTCCTCAAAGTGTGGTATCTATACCAGCAACAGAGCAGCACCTGAAACTTTATTAGAATTCAAGTACTTAGGCCCACACTGGAAACCTACTAAAATAAGAAATTCTGGGGTTGAACCCAGGAATTTGTGCTTTACCAAGCCCTGGAAGACATTCTGATGCATACTATAGTTTGAGAACCATCTTAGGATAGAATTGCTCACTACCAGGTACCAAGGGAACCCTTTGGAAAGGTGTGGGATAACTGCACATGGCAGGATAGTCTAGAGCTGAGCGGAAGAACATTTGGAGACAAGGGGTTGAGGCAGATGGGTAAAGCTCTGCTTTTGATACTGTTGATTTTTCAATCCAGAGACAGGAATTTGAGCAGTGTTAGGACCCACCTATTACTGCTTATTACCGAGATCCTTAAAATGCATGTTACTGAGATATTTGAAGATCTTTGATTATAGCTAAGATTAATCTTAAGAAAATTTATTCTTTTTTACGTAAAATCTCAGAACAAATCTCTTTGCTTTAAAATAAACACTATTGCTTTCATACTTCACTTTTTTAGACACTTAAGAAGTATAGGCAGTACACAGTATTGAGCAGGTAGCTGTGCTCCAAAGGTGGCATTACTCAATTAACAGTTAACAATAGTCAGTTAATTTTTCAGACATCACCTTGTGAGGTATTATGAGATGATCCAAGTGAGTGGAAGGTTGCCCTTAAGGGATTCGTTTAGATCAGACAGATACACGTGAAAAGTTTATCTCTTCAGAAGAGTGTGCCAAATGAACGACTGAGACGATTGCTACAGATGTTCAGAGGAGAGAAAGATAATAATCTCTTTATTATACCAACTGGCAGGATCACTGCCCAGGCCATGACTCATAGAATGCAAAGCATTTTGCCTGCTAGAAGTACCTGAGGGGTTTTCCTTCCTTCAAATTTCATGTTAATAGAGACTGAATGCTTGAATTTACAGTTCTTGCTATTGAGAGGCAATTGTTGCATAGTGTATTTGCACATCACAATAAAGATAGTAGATGTGCTATAAAATTCATTGTCAGGCAACTGTGTCTCATGTACTATTCAATGGAAATGCGTTACTATGTGGATCTAAATATAAGCAACAGACTAATAAAGGATAATATCGGTAATGAAAAAAATTAAATTTGACTTCTTTGACAGATGGGAAATTGCCAGTTATTATGATTGCCAATTGGAAATTTCCATTTGTTTGGACAAATCCAAAATGCTTATTTGATTTATATGAAACTTTTACATTTGCTAATGTAATATCATTTTTACTACAAGTGTTCCTCCTAACTCTGATACAAAAAGTGAAATAAAATAATTACCATTTTGTTACTTTTTGGACAGATTGTGGTTGTCTTGACTTTCTAGTAGATAAGTTTGTGGGTAACAGTGGAAATGCTAGTGGGAAAAGCAGATAAAATGTAGTGTCTTCCAAAAAATTTGTTTATCTCAAATGTATCTTTTCATCTTAGTTATCTTCATCTTTCTGTATCTTCTATATAAACCTTTCTTTGGCTTTTCCCAATATCATCTTGAAGCTACTGCTTCCATGTCTCTCACAGTACATGAGTGCAGCATGCTCTTGACATGCCAACGATAGATGGATGGAAATATGCACCTCCACCCCCCACCCCAGGAATTATTGAGCATAGCTTAAGAAAATAGCCTATGTCTTCATTTTTCTCAGCCTCCTAGCAGTTTAAGGCTTTAAACTGTTAAGTAAGCGATTATCATAGAATAAAGATACTGAAACATGACCTTGTTGAAAGATGCCATCTTCAAAGTGGTTTCTCTTCATAGAAAGAAAATGCAAAACTTTTAGCATTGACTTCCAGACTTAGATCAAGTGATGATGGTAGGGGTTCTCCTTTTGTTGTGTCTTCATCTTCTTGCCTTGTGCCATGAGGATACACTATCTGTATGATAACTTACTGAATTTTTTTGAAATTTTCTTGTGGTTGTGGATGTGATCTGTCCTTGTAATTATTCTGTGACAATTTGAAAAGAATAGTCTGGTCTGTGACTGTATTTGTTAATGCTTGGTGTTTTTTAAAAATTATTTATTTAATAACCATGTCTTTAGAAGAAGCATTTCGTTACAGCATTATATTCAATAACAGTTTCCAGAGCAAAGATGCATCTCTTTCAAAATTGGCTGTAAATTTTTAGGTTGACAGTTGAATTAATACAGTTATGCAATATTAAACTCAGTATAAACCCTATAAGACATAAAATTGAATGAGGTTTTAACCTTTAAAAAAGATCTCATTTCATTTTAAAATATATTGTTTCATATAGAAAAACTGATTTTTAATGCAACTAACACTTAGATGTTTGCACATGCATCTCTAATCTCTATGCATCTGATTATTACTAGTCACAGTCAGTTACTTTCTGAGATCATTGACACCTGAGCATGGATATAAAGTCATCAGGTAGATTTCAATGGTAATGTTTTTCACCTCTACTAATTAACATTAAGCTAATTTTTATGCTTCTTCCTCAAATATAAGTCAGTTTTTTATTTGTTCATTTTTTGTGTGTATTTCATACAGAACATCCCAAACATTCTTCTATATACCCACATCCCAAATGACACCCTCCGATAGCCCCCCTGTCATACTCTGTCATCCCTGTTACTGTTACTGTCCACTGTGTTGTCAACACCCCCAGCCATTCCCCAGTGCTTGTCCATCTG